ACCGAACTGCCGTTCTCATCCTGCGTACCACTTCGATAATGTGCCATTAAAATAAAGGCATCATGTTCTGGTTGAACACCATAACGAGAAAAATGAAAATCTAAAAAAAATTCACACTGAACGTTTTCGTTATTTTGATTTGTTTATTGACTTACCGCTAAAACGAATCAAAAAATTAACTTTCTCACGAAAGGAAAAGATAACGTGGTGAACTTTCTTGGCTTGAAGTTGAACAATCGTCTCACCTGGGACAATCATGTGAGTACCCTTTGTAGAAGACTCGCGAGTACAGTTTTTATAGTGCGAAGATTGGTGAAGTGTACCGAATCTGAAGTAGTAAGAACAGCATATTTTTCTTGTTTTCATTCAGTGGCCTCATATGGCATCTCCATTTGGGGTTCGGGTCCGGGTATCAATAGGATGTTTAAGCTACAAAAGAGTTGCATCCGCGCTTTGTGTAATCTAAAAAATTTAGAATCATGTAAAGAACATTAAAAAAAAATTGATATACTTGCCGTGCCCTGCATGTACATCCTTACTTGTGTTAACCATGTACACATCTCTATGACATAAACTCCGTACATCACGAGTATAATACGCAACAAAAAGACTATAAGGGTGGACTACTAGGGTACAAAACTTTATAACAAACTACCGGATTTCATAAAGAACATGAACGCGTTTTAAAAATCATGTTAAACACTTTTTAGTGTCTGAGGTCTTTTACTCGGTAGAAGAATTTTTAAGTAATGCCCACTGTATGACCAAACTGTATTAGTTAATTACTGTATTAGATACTCATTGTTGAAGTATACATATGTATTTTGTATGACGTCTGTCCAAAAACTTTTTTTTGACATATAAATAAACATTAAAACAAAGATAGTTCTAAAAAAAGAAGTGTACCGAAAAATATAAAGGCAGCAAAAATCGGTTAAAGAACAAAGAAAATACGGAAACTCACAAAGCAATCACAACAATAACGTTCGAACAGCTGCCACCGTCTGGTTATTTATTTAAAATTATCCAAGCTACTACTACACATTGAGATATGCAGCTAATATTACACAGGTCACGTGGATTACGATAATTAATTAACACAGTGTACTCAGCATCTACAGTAAGTTAATGTGTGGGTGGGAATTGTTGGTACCCGAATTCTGGGACCTTATTTTTTTGAAGGAACGTTGCCCGGATTTACCGTGGACCTATTTGGATTCTTCAGTTAGAATTGAATACCGCTGTAGTTGCCATCTTCCCCAATCAAGAGGATCGTGACTTACCAGATAACCGAATGTGGTTCCAGAAAGATAGTGCGACTCCACACTATACACTCAATGTTCGACGACTTTTAGATGCGACTTTCACTAACAGATGAATCGGAAGGAGAGGACGTATCGATTGGGCGCCTAGATCACCCGATATAACCCCATCAGACTTTTTCTTGTAAGGTGTTTAAAATCCAAAGTCTATTTTAACAGGCCAAATAGTTTAAATGACCTAAAAGAGCGGATACGTAACGAGATTCGTTAACTCCTTCTGCAATATTGAAGAATGTCCTGGAGTCAATAATTGTTCGACTTCGAAATATCATGAAGTAGATGGGCGATTTTTCACGTTAGTTATTATTTGTTTTCATCTGTTTTATTTAATTTTTAAATTTTTGGTAATTAAGCTAACAATAATAATAATAAATCTGATAATGAGGGTTTACTGAAAAGATTATTTAATTCTCTATCCAAATACATGAAAATATACAGGCTGTTGTATTTTATATAAAAAAGTTAATATCACTTCCGCTCAAACGGGAAGTGATATTTGGTTGTACTATACGTAAAAAAATCACAAATCAAAATTTAAATTTGACCACTTCGAGCATTTTTGCCGAAGAGCAATTGCTAAAAGTTTATCGAATTGATTCCTTTCATCGTGAACACACTGTATGTAGTTACAGCTATAATTATACAGTGCGTCAGTAAACTAGCTGATATAGGCGATAAAATCAGAGCATAATTAAAGTTTGCAAAGTGCCCTTAAACAGTGATTATCTTGGGAACGGAGAACTTTAGAGAAGATTGGTAGGTATACCAAATGTATATAAAAATGTCTGAGAAACTGTTTTAAGTTGTGCGAGTTGTAAAAATTTTAACGATGAAAAAGATGTCTACTTTAAAGGAGTTAAAAACTCCTTTAAAGTAGATAGCAGGCAGCGCCATCTGAAAGATAAATCAAAACTAATACCAAATTATTATTTATCGTCTTAAAAAATGGTAATGTACCAATTTTCATGGTCATAATGCGAAAATAAAGTCTTAACTTTAATCATCTGTTTGTCGTTATTATTAAAAATTGGACTAACATAAATTGGGTTAAATCGTAACAATTTAATGTAAGGAATTCACTGTTCTTCTGTGTCCCTTAGTAACGGACCACTCTGTATATAAAATATAGGTAGATACAATTAAGTAAAATCGCAGTATATCATAAAATACTTCATCCTTGTTAATTGTATAGATATTTTTTAATTTAAACCAATTTTGAAGTAAAAAAATTGACAATAATATCTTTTTGTCCAAGATTTTTAACTAATTCGCTTCTGTGCGTCGTGCATAAACCACATCTCACGTCCAATAAGTAGCGGAATATCTTCCAGGAGTACTGGCAGATTTTCTTGTAAAAACTGTAAATAAGAAGTTCCATTAAGAGTTCCTGGTAATTCGAAAGGTCCTATTAACGTATTGTTCACAATTCCCGCCCATAGATCCACTCTGAATCGTTGTTGAAAAGAGCCTTGACGAATAACGGGTGGATTTTCGTCCGACCACACATGGGAATTGTGAAAATTTAAAACACCATTTAAAACAGCAATCATCCGTTACCAGTATACTGTCCGCAAAATCTGCTTCTCTGTTGGCACGATTTAGTAGCCACTCGCAAAATTGCAACCGCAAAGGATAGTCAGCGGGAGTCAGTCCTTACACTTTTTGAAAATGATAGGGGTGTAAACCGTTACTTTTCAACGTACGCCAAACAAAATTCTGGGATACCTCGAGTTGGTGAGAAATTTGACGAGTACTCGTGCTTCGATCCGCTTCCACAATTTCTACAATTTCTTCTTCCACATTCACTCCATGTCTGTTTAGTCTACTGCCGCCAAGATCTTTCTTAGGTTGCAAATTTCCTGTCTCTCTTCCCTGCTGGATTAACCGAAGAAAAGTGTTTTCAGAAGGGATCTGTCGATTTGGATATCGTTCTAAATACAGACGTCTTGCGTATGCAGCGTTTTCTCCAGCAGCTCCATAAATAATAAGCATATCTACGTATTCTTCGTTACTGTACATTACCATTGTATTTTTTGATTAGTAAAAATTCGAATTTTGACGTTAAATGACATTGCTTATTAAAATTAAATGACGTGTCCGTTGCTAGGTAACCAAGTCAACTGGATTGACAGCAATAAAAACATGGTATCAGCCAAGGGTATCAGCGGTTCTCAAAAAACAAACACCAGTTTTTGAGTGATTTAACAAATTTTTAAATAGCCGTAACTGCCATATTACAAAGATTTTATTATTGCTGCTAATCAGACATTGCTTAAGTAACCCCGAAATATTCGCAGTTTGAATTTAAACGTAGTGTAATACCGTATAACGTAAGAAATACTGGGCAATTAATTCAACTTTAATGCTCTATATCTTTGTGATTATTACGTTGTAGTCAAAACATTATTAAGAAAATATCTTCAGTTTGGCCCCTAGTACTTGCTCTTTTAATCTGCTCCGTATGTTATAAATCACCCTGTATAATGTCCTACAGCGGGTATTACTATTTTGATTGCCCAAATATCCAACGCAACCAACAACTTTAAATTGTTTATCCTGAAATTGTATATATTTAGGAATTTGATTGAGGGTAATTCCTAGTGATGTTGAGGCTGTCTCGAGTGCCAGAATTGGACCTAAAATTTAGAACCAGCAAGAACATTTAACAAAATCAATACTGATCTTGGAAAATGTGGGTAATTATAATCGTAAGTGAATAAATATAATTGTAAATGTGACATCCATAAAAAGCTTACCTATGTGTGATACTTTCCACTTAACATCTTCCCAATTTTTGCAGCCGGTGCGCGTTTTTGAATCGACAGCAATAATTTCATTCAAAGCGATTTGATCAAATTTTTCATTAAATAGTAATTGATCTGTAACGAATGACACTATTTTTGTTACCTTACTATTACGGCATTTAGTCGCTTTAATTAGAGAAGGTTGTTTAACACATAATTTTTCAAACAATATGCCAATATTCACTGTTCCATCTATGTACTGAATGCCTTTCTTTAATGTAATGCCCATAGATTTAATTATAGCGTCTGCCCTTATACTATATGTTTTTTTTTGTTATTTTCATTCTAATTAAAGCATCCCACTAAACCACCTGGACTTGCCCCTAGGAAGGTATACTCAGCGTCTATGAACAATCCGCACGTTTCTACCTTTATATTATCCAGTTCTTGTAACTGATGTATAGCAAGTTTTCATTCATTTTACCATGCTGCACAGCCTTAGATCTACAGTTTGTTAATTAATTATCGTACCCAACGTCATCATTGCAAGTATGCAACTAATATCACAGTATTGGTATTGCAATACGCAAATCGTATATTACCAATACTGTGATATTAGTTGCATACTTGCAATGATGACGTCGGGTACGATAATTAATTAACACACTACTTACTGCATCACGCGATTGACGCGACAAATTTGTAAACTTTACGATAAATTACAACAAATTAAGCGACAATTTATGACGTCATTAGTTTTTTGTTATTTCCACTCTTTACCATAGATTTCCACTGTCAAGTTAGCACTACCTCAAAAATGCAATATTTCAAAAATTGTTTATAAAAAAGAACGACAAATTTGTAAACTTTACGACAAATTACAACAAATTAAGCGACAATTAATGCAATAATGTTTTTTATTCAAATCGCCAGTTAGAGATGTAGTGCTAACTTGATAGAGGTGCTTAACCCGAAAGTTTCTAGGTCTAGTATCAGTTCTAGTGATTAGTTTCAGTTTACTTTAAAACTATTTCTTATTTTCGGAATTTTACTAAATGATGGATCATTGGTTAAGGTGTAAATTAAATTTATCGATTCACAATTACAAATCAAAGTAAAAATATTTCAATGAATTTCTTCAATCAACTGTTTAAATCTAAAGATAAAAATGCCATTCTAATTAATCGACGTCGTAATCAGAGTTAAAAAAATTTATTGCGTTTTAATAAATTTCATTGGCATCAACTTACCACCTGCTTATCCAATACCATTCAAACAACAAAAACAAATAAAATAATCAAACGTAGATAACAAAATAATCAAAGAGGGAATAATCCAAACGTTTAACAATATTTACTCGGAACAATAAACATTAACATACATTTTATTATTCCTTGCTTTTTATTATGCCGGCGAAAGATTACCGTGAAAAAATTTCGACTTTACATCTAAATATAAATTATCTAATCATAAATAGATATACTTGACGGGTTTTTAAGGGGTTTTTGGGTAGAAAATTATTTGTTATTTTACGTTTGGCCAGATCGGACGTGTTTTTCTTTAGTTTTCCGCGAAAATGGAATATTTGGCTTTTACCTTCATTTTCAGCTTATTGTTTCTGTTCGTTGTAATCATCGTGTTAAAAATCTGCGCCAAACTTTATATGATTCATCAAAGAAGAAAACAAAGAAATAGTAAGTGAGAAAATAAAATATTTTGAACTTATTTTGTATTTTGCCTTATTATTTTTTAGTTGTAGTAAATGTGTATTTCATGCTAATCCGGTATGTTTATTTATTGTTATTATTTAGTTTTAATTTAGTTCCCTGTACTTTAGCTTAAGTACTTGGATTAATTTCTTTTTAATCTCAGTGGATAATAAAATTCTACGGAATTTTACTAAGTTACATGTCAAGTTGATGACTGTTTATCTTATCGTGTTATCTTTATGCAGTTTTTAGTTAAAGGCATTTGATCAAAAAATAACTTAATTACATGTAATAAACGATCAGAAATTAATGACGTGAGCTTATTATTGAATAATAAATATTAATGATAAACGTTTTTTAAATTAAACACAAAAAATCGGATTATTTTCATTTGTTATCGTAATAGTTCTAAATCCTTTATCTAATCGTTGTTCTACATGATTGATAGTTAATCAGAATATTAAGCGTGAATGTACAAATATAATTTAAATTTAATTTTTTCTTGTGCGATCACGAGCTTTTTGGAAAACTTTTCACAAACTTTTGTAAGCTTATATGGACATTGCCTCGTTGTATTGCTTATGTTGAATAATTTCGATAGCTTTCTAAACGTTCGCGACGATATTCTGGACTTTCCAAATATATTTAGCGATTTAACAATATTTTCCAAGAATTTTCAGAACTAAGGGTTCTTATAGACTTTTTCACGTAGAATCCAATGGTGCACGTAGAATTTTTCTAGTCATCGCGGTTTTTGAGTTATAAACACAACTTAGGTTTTTTTAAATAGAACTACCTATATTTTATTTTTTTATTGAACTAGAATTTTTACAAGCTTTTCAAAGATACATAATACTCTATACTTATCGTTATAATTTATAATTAACCTCGAAATAATAATAATAATAATTTATTCTGCCACAGTGCCACAAAAAGTAGGTGGTAACAAGTCAACACACTTAAATACAAATAAAAATAAAATGCAGAGACAATTAAATTATAATTAAATTGGTATATACTACCACGCACACACAATACAAACTATTCCCGCTCAGGTACCACAACCAGCCTTAACCCTCAGAGAGTTACTCCCGTAAACTATTTTATTTTATTTATTTTTATTTTATTTGTTTGGGATGCAAACAGAGAACCCCCAATAGCGGCATCCACTAGCAGTGAAAACAAACATTATTAAATGATAATTCGTTGCTAATACTAATAACAATCCACTAAAATTAAGTAACAATATTAGGACCATGCCACAACCATGCCCCGCAAAAATCGTTTAAAAGACGCAATAGATATATTAAAAATGTCCACATGACAGTGAGAGTCGTGCGCATTCATTATACGGACTAAAGGAGAGTTAAGATGAATATTCGAAGATAAACGACCAATCCTAAACAATAATCCTCCACGCGTTTGATAAGGAGGGACATAAAAATATAGTTCGCTCACTAAATCCGAAGCATCCAAGAAGTTGTTGACCAATTTATACAAAAAAAAAAATCAGAGCTCAGTCTCCGCTGATGCAGTGTATGGAATCCTAGTACTCTACAACGTTGAGGGCAATCACAGTAAGGTAAAAACGTTTTGTGCGCTAAGTACCTTATAAATCGTCGTTGAACAGATTCAATGCGATTGATATGTATAGCATACTGAGGGTTCCACACCGTCGACACGTACCCTAGGACACTGCTGGCGAAGGCCATGTAAAGCAATTTAGGTCCACTTTTACCATCCTACTGATAAACTATCTAAGGGATAATAATTATCATGGGTACAGCGGTTTCAAGCTCTCTCATTGGCTAAGGCTCGTTACTACCATCTTCTGGTTAAGCTATCTAACGGATTATTGCTACGGTTACGGCTATTTCACGCGCTCTGATTGGCTAGTAGATGGGTTTATCTATAAGATAAATTTAACTAAAAGATGGTAGTAATGGACCTTAGAGCGCCTATTTATCCATCGGATAAATTTATCAAGAGGTGGTAAAAGTGGGCCTTAATGCATCGAATATTCGTGAACAGACGACATACCTTAATCACAAAACCAAATCTCTTCAAAGACTTAATAACAGCAAAGCCTGCTGTCAAGCACAACACTAAGATCGTTAATGTGGTCACACGAAACGAGTGCAGCAGTTCCCAAACGGTAAGTATGGTTCAGTGGGTAACGTTTACGCGTAAATGTGAGTGTAGAACACTTATTGTAATTGATACGAGCATATAATGAGGGCTATTACTCTCATTAAGGTTAAGTGTATGTCACGAGCGTAGCGAGTGGCATAATTAACCTGGGTGAATAATAGCTCATTATATGCGAGTAGAATACTATACTTTGTCCACGACTATTGAAATTGATTCCATAAATTTATTTTTTAAATAAATTTTTGAATAAAGGTTAAACGTCAATGTGACACAAATTCAATGTTACTATACTCCAGACTATACTCCATAGATAATTTATATAGATGTGACGTTTACGTAAAATTTTTGTACACACCACGCTCCGAACGGCTCGGTCCATTACTAATATTAAGTAGCGGCTAATGTGATAAATCTTAAACATTAAATTTTCTAATTTTTTTGTGTTGAATTAAATAATAGTATATTAAAAAACTAGTTTCGTAAGACACGCTTGAAATGCACGAATTCAAGTTGAAAAACAAGTCTTATGAAACGTGTTTTTTATGCTATTTTTTGTAATTCGCGTTTTTATCCTTTTTTTTAACAAAAATAAAACAAATTTTGACAATGTAGGGAAATAGGTATGCAGCAGTTGGTAACACCGTAACACTTGAAAATAGAAATTTGAATTGACAATTAGAAACTGTCAAAACACAAAATGTATTCACCTGAAAAAATGTTTCATGTACACCTCCCAAAATAAGAGAAAATGCTCAGTGTTCAATGTCCTCATCATTGTGGACCTTGTATTCGATGCTAAGAATGTGTTTAAACATCCATAGACAAAAATTGTCACATTGACAACTAGAAAAATTAATGACCAAAATTAATGACTAAAATATCATTACAGCATGCTGTAAGGAGTATCGGATGCTGTAAGGAGTTTCATTACAGCACCCGTTTGAGTACTGTTAGAGCTTTCGTTACCGTCGCGAATTACAAAAAAAAATAAAAGACATTTGTGTATTTTAATAATCTTTTTATTAAAATTATTATCATAAACATAAAGTCTTATTTTAATATAAAAGAACAATAACTATAAACAATGTGTAATGATTGATACACTGTTAAAAATTTTACGGTGTGATTTAACTCTTTCCGTATAAGGTGATATATTACCGCGAAAAAGTGGTAAATTTAACTAAATTCTAATAGGTTGCAATACATTTGAGAGTCAAAATAACTTTGTTAAAAGATGTTAAAAATACGGTGTTAATCTGTTTATTCCTCACAGTGTAACTTTACACTTTATAACACCTTATACCCCTTTCCATTTTGTAGCATTAAATGTAATGCCAATATTTTGTCATCAAGTGTATAACGCCTCCCTGCAACCTTCTTCCTTCGTTGTCATATTGGCTCAAAAAAAAAAGGATTGTTTTAGTCTGTCTAAACTTGGAATTGACTGCTTAAAAAGTTGTCACTTTGGTAATCATTTTCTTTTATTTCTTTGGGATATTATACATTGGCGCTGAAATTTCCTCTTATACATCACCGCTTTCCTGTATAAATATTGGGCTTTTGGTGATAACTCGTCTTGTTTGTGGACACCAACTTCCTCCAATAAACTCTCCCATTGTTTAGCTGTCAAAAAATATCGGAATGAAATTATAAATATATACAGTAACACCCAGCTTAACCCATTAACGCCTAAGGAAAATTACACCCATCCTTAAATGGGGATTTGTTAGAAAAATAAAGATTAGTATAGATCACCCCAATAATGATCCCGATTAACGCTGTTTCCCCATTAATTGGGGTTTCCCTGTAATATGATATCAAACTTTAAAAAAATTATACTATATTCTTTTGTAATAAAAGGGAAATTAAACGTTTTTTGAATGATGTTTCATTTATTAATAAATAACTCTTATTAAGAGTTATAAGCCATTATAAGTAATTTAGCCATATAGAAAATAAAAAATGAACGATTTATAAAACACATCATTTCTTACCTGAAGTCTCCAATGAGATTGCACTGGTGGATGTTGAAGCAACCTGAAGTCCCATATCTGCATGTGGAGTAGTGGGTGTGTTATTCGAAGCACTTGAAATACTGACTTCTAAATACTGATATCCTATATGTGAAAAAAAAAATATGCCTCAGTCCTAACAACATTTTGATAATTTTATACACATACCTGGCAAATTTAATGATGGTACTACTCCTTTCAACAATTTGTTGTTACGTCCAACATCCTCTCGTCGAAAATGCTTATCACAAACTCGAAAATTATTATAAACCCTCAACTGTTCACACTGAAGCAGGTCTTCTCGCACACAATATAAAACCCATCTTTGATATATTCCTGGATACATTTGTGGGTTTGGAAATCGGTAGAAACTTCCATACCTTTGTATGCATTCACTAATGGCGCAACTTTTTGACGTTTTCTGCTGCAAGAGAATAAGATACATATATACTTATTTTACAAATACCTAATCCAGTTCCATAATCAGTATTTAAATTTTAAATTTCAGAGGTTTTTTATGAGTATTAGTTTCCATATTATTTTAAGGGCAACTTATATTTGAAAATTTATTATGAAACTGGAGATTATAATATAATAATATGAAATAAATAAAAAAAAGTATATCAAATGTACTTACCACGAATAAAATTTCGTAAACTACTTTAAAGTTTCTAAAGTCTTTAAAAGACCGCTCATAATATACGGAAAATAACTTGCAAAAATCGAAAACTAATGTATCAAACACAAAGCCGCATCAAAACACTAACCAATAACTAACTATGAACTAACTTGACAAATAACTTAGAAAACAGTAGAAAAACA